AAAAAAAAAAAAAAAAAAAGGAAACCTCCTTGAGACTAGCACTTGTTACATTTGTAACAAACAGCTTTTATTTGCACTATGTTGTTTTCTCCAATGAACCTGAATCATCTCTTCATGTTATAACAGTTTCAAAAGCTGGAAAGAACAGTTTCCAAATCCTAAGTTATATGCATAAAGTATAAGATTCCATTTCTCACATTTCCAAAATTTACAGAGATCCATTCAGAAGTGGCTAAAGTTAGGTCAACCAGTCAAATATTACTTGTTGCTAGAAACTATGTATTTATACATACTGTTCCAGGTTAAATCTTACCTAGGACCCTAGATTGGTGAAGTTATACACAGACTTCTCACCTGTGCTGCTTAAGGATTTCATCAGTCCAGCCTTCTTATCAAAAGTTGCTTAATTCTAATTAACTGGCCTCAAGACACTCTTTTGGAAGGGATTTGAAGTTCATTTCATACCAGTTGTCTTTACCGAAACAGGTTTAAACCCTGGCTCTCCTCTTAGTAGCTCTATGGCAGGCATCCTCAAACTATGGCCTGCGGGCCCACCTAGAACATTTATCCTGCCCCCTGGGTATTTTTGCCGCTGCTGCCTGTCCTGCTTCGCAGCCAACTAGTCCTGGGGCCCACTATCCGGCCCTCCAACGGTCTGAGGGACAGTGAACTGGCCCCCTGTTTAAAAAGTTTGAGGACCTCTGCTCTATGGTATCAGGTGAGCCAGGTGGCCTCTGAGCTACTGGTTAAAAGGCACCCTACCTTACAAGGATGCTGTAAGAGTAAGATCAGCAGTGTTTGCTCACCCCCCATAGCTCAGTAGTTAGGGTGCCAGCCACATACACCAGAGCTGATGGGTTTGAGCCCAGCCCAGGCCCGCTAAACCACAACTACAACAACAACAAAAATAGACTGGCATTGTGGCAGGGCGCCTGTAGTCCCAGCTACTTGGGAGGCTGAGGCAAGAGAATTGCTTAAGCCCAAGAGTTTGAGGTTGCTGTGAGCTGTGACGCCACTGCACTCTACCAAGGGTGACAAAGTGAAACTGGTGAAACTGTCTGTCTCAAACAAACAACAACAAAAAAAAGATCAGCAGTTTGTAAACTACCAGAGACAACATGGCACACAGGTGTCACATAAATGACATTACAACTGCATCCTCACGGTACATCTGAAAAACAACTCTAATCTCTCCTTAGTGCTTCGTAAGTGTTTAAAATGCTGGTATGTATGTGATTAAGCTGAGTAGCCAATGAAAAAGTATGCATATCTACTTAGCTAATTAATATTAGATTTATGCTATCACTTACCAGCACTTTAAGGCTGTGTGGTTGTTTCTTACCTACATTTTACATA